AATATTTTTCAGGTATATTTCGAATCAGATGAAGTGCATGCATGTATTGTGACATGTGGTGGTCTATGTCCAGGCCTAAATACGGTTATTAGAGAACTAGTATGTGGGTTGTACCACATGTATCATGTCAAAAGAATTCTTGGAATAGAGGTAAGTAAAGGCATATTTGACATACATTCAAATACATTCTAAATCTTCATTATCATATTTCAAAATAGGAGAAAATAAAATGCTAAAGATGCATGAAAAATGGACTTTAGTAAATAATTTCTTTCCCTCACTTTTCATACTTTATGAGGTAAAAATAACATACTATAATTTGATTGTGGCCTATCAGTGGATATAATTTTTTTAAATGAAAAATAAAAAAACTCAGTTCATTATAATCTTTTCTCATGCATGCTTGAACAATATCACGAACTAAGGAAGTAATTTTCTACATATAGGGTGGATACAGAGGGTTTTATGCCAGAAATACAGTCCCCTTAACACCAAAGGTTGTGAATGACATCCACAAACGTGGTGGCACCATCCTTGGGACATCACGAGGGGGCCATGATACCTCTAAGATTGTGGACAGCATTCAGGACAGAGGAATCAATCAGGTTGGTATTGTCTGCATATGTTTCAGATTTCAGTTATGAGGACTTTGGTTTATTCAACAACTTTTGTGCATAGACTAACGTATGTTTATGCTTGCTAGGTCTATGTAATTGGAGGAGATGGAACTCAGAGAGGAGCTGCGGTGATTTTTGAGGTAATGCAGTTTGATGTGACACTACGAGCAGTGATCTCCAGTGCTTCCTGGGAAAAAGTAGTTTGGAAGATTTAACAATCTTGAGAGTATTGGGCAACAATATGGGATGTTAAAATAAGTGACTCAAGGACGGCGTTTAGTTACTCACTTACCACTATTCAATGCAGGAAATCAGGAGGCGTGGCCTCAAAGTTGCAGTGGCAGGAATTCCAAAAACCATTGATAATGACATTCCGGTACTCCTATTTCCATGCATGACTGATCTGATGCATTTAATTTAACACTAGAATTCACTCTTCGAAACAGTCTTAATTTTGGATTCCATGCTTACTTTTATTCAGGTTATAGACAAGTCCTTTGGTTTTGACTCTGCTGTTGAGGAGGCTCAACGAGCCATAAATGCAGCTCATGTTGAAGCCGAAAGCGTTGAGAATGGTATTGGTGTTGTCAAGTTAATGGGCCGCTACAGTGGTAAAGTATCAATCCTCTATATAATCTTAA